TACCATGGTTACCATGCATCCCACCAAAAACAAATGTTCACATAGCAACCAAAAACAAGCAGCCTGTCGGCTGAGATCATTAGAAATGAACGAATCTAACAGAGGTCTACCTGAGGTCCCTATATGTATAGTATCAAAGCAATCAGACTTGGTTTTTAACAAGAAGTGGAAAATATCACTTTTTACCAAAAATTACAAAAATATTCACCAAAATTAAAGATATCACTCATGAAATGAACAAATCTAAAAGAGGACTGCCCAATGTACATATAAACCAAGTATCAAAGCAATAAGAATTGTAGTTTTCAAGAAGAAGTTGAAAATGTAAAAAGTTGACACGGACAACAACGGACAATCACTCATATGATTACCTCCGATCGACAAAGTCGACAGCAGAGCTAAAAAGGCGACACTAAACATCAACTTTGGGGTTATTCTACTCAGTAGAAAATATATTTTTAGGAGTAAAAGTCAAAAATGGAACTTTTTGTAACCATTTCCATAGAAACTCTTGTTAGAGCTTTATTATATATAAAATCTAAAATATAAATGTAGGGATGATGTCACACTGTGAGATACAAATGTAGGGATGATGTCACACTGTGAGATACAACTGTACAGAATGTTTAATGGGAGAATTCAAGCAATGAACGACTGGACTTACCAAGAAGAGCTCTGGTTTCCCATGTCCTATTGTCTCATCGCATTCAAATATGATTGTAGTTGTTTGCAGCACGTCTTCTTCACTAACCACTTAAAATGAAGTAAACACATAGTTTACGGAAGAAGCAGTGGTCCTATAATTAATACTTAGCCCAGACTAAACAATAAGTATAAAGCAGTGCCTGAATACATACAGCAAAAATTAAATTTTAGCAGATGCTTGTGACCTATATGTGTGAAAGGTTAGCGAGCATATGAAATAATGCTAAAATCAAATATTTAACCTTCACCACCAGACTTTCTCGCCCAAATTTGTCTGCACCTTTTTTTAATATTCTTCAATATTTCCAAATGAAACCTAATTTTCGAGCCAACAGACAAAATGTGAGTAATTTTTAGTTTTTGCTCAAAAAATTTGGCTATTTTGTCCACATCTACTGAAGGAAAATGCAGACTATAAACAAGACTAATTTGTGAATTTGTGATGAAGGGAAAACTGGTGTTAAAAAGATTAACAGATGCACTTTCATAGAAAATGCTATCATTTATTTTGACCGTTTCTGTAATTTTCACCAAATTAAGTAAATTTTATATACTGCATTTAGTTCAATGGATTGGTGGTTTGTAGAAATTTCATTAATATTTTGGATAAAAAGGAGTGAATAGAGAAGCAAAATATTTGGTGGAAGGTGACGATTGTCGATGAAGGTGGTTAACAGTGTAGAAATTTGGATATTATGCTTCCAGAATTGAGCTCAATAGCAGTATGTTACAGCATCAACGCAATAAAGACGATTTATCCCTTCCCTAATTTTATGGGCTCAGTTTAAATTGTTAATAAACATGTTTTATGCAAATATTACGAAAACATGTACAACCGAAACCAATTCAGGTCAGTATACTACAGTAGAATACTTTATTTTCGCTTGGAATTTATTTTCGCTATTTTCACTGAATAGATGATTCCGTGAAAATAAAATCCAGCGAATATACTTTTTTTCCTATATTTCATATTAACTCATCAAAAATCAGGGAAATTAAATTCCATACAAAACGCCCAAAAAGCCTTTGCAGCGAAAATTAATTCCAGCGAAAATAAAGTATTCCACAGTATTAAGAATTCCTTTTTATACTTTTACACACATTAGACAACCAGTACAATTAACAATAAACCATACTTGCTCTATTTAGAAGCACAAAATTTAAGTTTATATAAACCAAAAATGGCATTTGTAATACAATGTATCATTAATATAATTAATTTACTTATTTTAACCATAGAAATACATTAGTAATTTACATAAGCGAATGTGTTAACAATAAGGAAAATAACATATAACCGCCAGCCATATGTCAATTTTATAGCTTTTCTAAATACATGCTACTATTAACAGAACAGTTTCAAATTATATCGCCATCGATCATTTTCCATGTGAAAATGGGGTGTTGATTTTTAGCTCACACAATTCGTTCACTGGTTTCCTCGCTTCCTGGTGAGTATCAATGTTTACACAGCAAAATCAACCCCCCTAACGCAGATGTAATTAGAACATTAGAACCGAGCGTGTAACGACAGAACTCAATTTGAATTTGATGCTTACCACCAGGACAACCATCTCCTTTAGAATACATTAACTTGAGCTCTGAGTCGTACATGAATTCTTGATGGCTAGCACTTCCCAGTGATACCCCATAATTGTTAGTTCCATGGTGTTTGCAGACTCCGGCATTCTCACAACTTCCCTTGGCACCAGGAACAGGAGCACATATGTTTATATCATATTCCACACCATCATCATCAAGAACCTAAATCACACAGTTAATAAAAGCTATTTAACCAAGAATGAAATGATATTATAGCAGACCCTGCAAGCTAATTTGTTCAGACAAAAGACAATAAAATTTTACTCCTAAAACATGTATATTGCCAACAAAACGACTAGACTAGACTAGACTAGACTAGACTAGACTAGACTAGACTAGACTAGACTAGACTAGACTAGACTAGACTAGACTAGACTAGACTAGACTAGACTAGACTAGACTAGACTAGACTACACTACACTAGACTACACTACACTAGACTACACTACACTAGACTACACTACACTAGACTACACTACACTACCGCATTACACCGCCCGCACTGCACTACACTACCGCACTGCATCACCGCCCGAACCACACCACACAACACACACAGCACTACACTGCACCACATCACACTGCTCTGCATCACACCACACTGCACCGCATCACATCACACTGCACTGCATCACACCACACTGCACTGCATCACACCACGCATCACGTCACGC